CTAATCTCTCGATTCAAGCAAGTAAATTGTGTCAAATATTAAGGACCTAATATTGAACTCATCTCTCGAATTATGAACAATATTGTCACAATCTTTTAGGATTTTATTATTGGTTCGGCTACAAGGCACCCAACTCTCCTGGGGTAAAATGAAAAGATATTCCTAACAATGCTTATTCCATTATCCACCCTTCCCCGAGCTCCATTTCCATCATCTGCATAACCTCACGAACCTTATTTTGTTGGGAGGGAGGATCACCTTCTTGCACCATAATAATGCATCCCTTTCCATGTGAATCTATAATCCTCTTACTAGACCATCCCTAACAAGACATCCAACGGGTGTAATTCTTGTGAACCTATTCATCACCTTTAACCCTTGGAGCATACTTAAAACCACATGTGTTACACGTGCCCCATAGAAAATTAGGTTGACCGACCTCCAGATGTAATTGTGCATAATTTCTCTTCATCTTTATTTTCTTCTTGGTCAAAACTCCGTTACACCCCTCCTCCCCCCCAATTATGATAAGGTCATCATACAGACAACTCTTCACCTCCAGTAGAAAGATCTGGTCCTTACACTGCGCTTTGCTTTGTTCGTTGGGTCAATTACACTGCGCGCTCAGCTCGTGCAAGCACGGTGTAGCTAAAGCTGCTCTTCACAATTGTAAAAAATGGTCCAAAAACCACATCAACCACCTCTTTCCTCAACAAACCAACACCCTTCAGCTCATCCAGAAAAACAGACGCCAGGTGATAATTTACCCCATTCCCCTGCAGCTTGTCCTCTGCCAGGCACCCGTCCCTCTTCAGAACCCCCAAAACACCTACATCCCACTTTATCCACCTCATGAGCTCAAACAACACCATCATAAATCATCGTATAAATAGGTAAAACTTGTCCAGCCGGTTGATCTCAGGCCACTCCCTCCTAAGCGTGACCAAAATCCCGCGAAAAGATATCCAACGAAAGCGAGGGCTGGAATGAGAGGAATAATGTGGTGTGTCTGTTCTCCATGTTTGCGCGTCCACTTTAACCGCAAAGAATTGGTTACCGCTCTTCCACAATATCTCCAGGCTTTTCAAGCTCACGTCCTTGACTCTGTCGTTAACTCCGACTTTTAACTTGACCAGTCCATCACCCCACAAAAACTCCATTGTACCGACCCTATAATCTATCATGACTGGCCCCAATCCTTCCAACCAATGAACTCCCAATACGACATTCGGTCCTACCAATGACAATGCGCATATACAATCACGCCTTGTAACTTAATGGGTACTCCAGAAGAATTCAGAGCACCTTAATCGTTCCCATTAGCGACTCTAACATCAAATGGATCTATGTTTGTCACAGGAAAATTAAGTTTGTTGTAAAGAGAGGAATTGATGAAATTGTGGGATGATCCGATATCGACTAGTACCACCACTTGGCGACCCGAACCCATGCCGGTAATTTCATTTTCTTTGGCCCATGGGGCCCAGCCACTGCATGAACCGAAATCTCTGAGTCATCCTCATGATGATCAGTATCATACTTCGTTCCAACTTCCTCTTGTTCTTCCTCGTCAGAATACACGTACTCAATTAGAAAGGTTTGTCTCTATTTGACCAACAAATTGTGCTAGTTGTTTTGACTAGCTTTTTGTTTTAGCGGTTTGTAAAAGAGTGTTGGGTGAAATTAGCTATTTTAATTTGTTGTTAACAAGTAGAATTACTTATAAGGACATCAACATATAACTTATATTTATTTAGGAAATAATTTAATGTTTTAAATATTTATTAAAGTGATTTAATATATAATAAAAAACATCAAAAATGATAAAATGAAAAAAAAAATCTTAATTGATTAAATAAGTTCACGTTATATAAGCAAGACCAATAACAAGTCATCACTACAGTTGAAAAAAAAAAAAAGAGAAATCTAAGTAACTAAATTCACATCTAAGTAACTAAAATTTATATTAACAATTTCTAAAAGTTCCCATGGACATCTAAGTAACTAAATAACTTTTTTTTTTACTAGATTTCTCAAATTGTTTGAATGTTTTTGCAACTTTATATTTTTTTCATTAGATTTTTCAAATTATTTAGATGTTTCTGCAATTCGCTATAATTTTGAGATTGTAGGATGGATGAACTAAGATGTATGATAGTGTATCTAAGTAGTTGCGTATAGACCTGGAAATGAGCTGAGCCGAGCTCGAGTTTAGGGTGCTCGAGCTTGAGCCAGCTCGACTCGTTAAATAGACGAACCAGAAATCGAGCTCGAGTTTGACTTGTTTATCACTATTAATGAGCTGGGTTAGAGCATTTAATGCGCGGAATTATAAAAAAATGCATAAAAGGTATCTTTTCGAGCCTTATCGAGCCGAGTCGAACTCAACTCGACTCTTTAACTAAACAAGCTTTAATAAGCTAGGAAATATAAAAAATTCTTTTGAGGCCAAACAACCACTAAACAAACGCGTGTGTATTAAAGCAAAATTCGCAATCTATCTTACCCGTCATTAATCGCTCCCTCAACAAAACCTTATAAGTAGTGGTTGGTTGAGGGGTTTTGGAAGGAAAGAGAGAAAAGGGAAGAGAAAAATTTATATTTTACTTGCATGGTTTTAATTTTTCATCTCCATCCTCCTCTAAAATCTATCAATACAAGGTAAACCCAAAATATTTTACATCTCCCCTCCCTTTCCTTCCTTTCCATTAAAATTCTTCCCCTTCTTTTTCCTCCATTGACTAAACGTACTCGCCAATTCCTCTCATGGCCTCAATCGACAGGCTCAGCGCCTTGCCCGACGAAATCCTCTTTCACATCCTCTCTTTTCTCCCCTTCAAAACCTCCGTCTCCACCAGCACCCTCGCCGCAAGATGGAGGTTTTTATGGGCTTATGCCCCTATCATAGAACTAGGCGAATCGAATTCGAGGAAAGTGTTATGTAGAAAGTTCGAAAACTTGGTGACAAAGATTCTGTCCCAATGTGAAAGCGTGAACACACTTCGCCTCCACAGGGATTACTTCATCAGGCCTGAACTTGACGGGTATCTCGAGCGCGCCTTTGCGGGCAAGATGAAAACTCTCGATCTTACTATGCGGTTGGAATCTGATATTTTGCCCCCATGTGTGCTCACCTCCGAAACCCTAGTTAATTTGAAGCTCAATAATTTCGATATTGAGATAAAGAATGGCACCGTGTGCTTACCAGCCCTCAAGAGGCTTCATCTTGCGTACGTTACTCTTTATGGCTCCCTTGAAAACCTGATTTCCGGTTGTCCGGTGCTTGAGGAGTTCACTGTTCGTTCCTATATCTCTGTTGTCGTTGACCAAACTGTGGATTGCCATTGCATATCTTCTCCCACTATGAAGAAATTGGCCGTCAGCTGTGACTTACCTTTCAGGTTGAAGATAGATACTCCCGCACTTGAACATCTTTATTTACATTATACTAAGCCCTATAATTTATCGGTTGGGTCGATAGACTCCTTGATTGGAGTACATATTGTTGCTGATCGTGTCAAGCCAATTGTGAACGGCGATCCTTATTCCCCTTCTCTGGTAAAATTTGTGGGTAGGTTCTCTAGTGTAAAAGAAATGACCTTAGATGCTTGCCATTGGGGGAAGGTAAAACTTGTTTTTCTGCATCTCCTTTTGCTTTTTTCTTTTGCTTTTTCCTCTCTCTGTTTTTCTTTCCTTCTGTAATCTTTGTTTTCCTGCAGGTTCCTGACTCGACCCATGTCTATTTGAACATAAAGTTTCCCAATTTAGCCAAACTCACAGTGAGTGGTGATTGGCGTTCCATCTCATATTTCGTGGAGAAGGCTAACACGCTTCAAGTCCTTAACGTTAGTCTGATTGTTTTGTCTATATTTTCAACTTGTATGGTTATGACTATGTTTGATAGAACTAGTTGATAAGTGATTGATGGCCCAGCCTTGTTCTGCATTTGTTTTCTTTTTGTTTCATCATCAGGTTATGCAATATCTAGAACGTCAATGCGAGATGGAACCCATCCAGTTGTTGCCTCCTAAATGCCTGCTGGCTAAATCAATCATGAATCTTCACAATTTAACAAAACTCGAACTGGACGTCGATTGGTGGTTTCTCACATATTTCCTAGAGAAGGCTCATAAACTTAAAGTCCTTATTATCCATAGGGTAAGCATTTCCTTTTTATTCATCTCCTGTCAGAATTTGTGAGAATTTTATACTTGTTCACATTTCCATGTTTACCTTTCTGTTTCATTGTCAGTTTTATAATAATCGAAAGCGCTGGTTCGCGGCTCCCCTTCGAGTGCCTAATTGTCTGTCCTCACATCTTAAAATAGTACAAATTTTAGAATTGGACAGTACAGAGCAGAAACTCGACATGGTTAGATATCTCTTGAAGAATGCTAAAGTCCTGGAGAGGATGGAAATACAGTGCTTCGCAGAATCAATCGGGAAAATTTCATCATTTGATCGAGGATCTGAGATGTGTGAGATTGTCTTCAGTGAATATGTGGAATCAGACGATGATTTAGATTTTTAACATGATCTAAGTAATGTCTCGTCATGCTAACACTCCATGACTGAGGGTCCTTTCATAAATATTACTTTTGTCTTCTTAAATAACTCATATATTTATGTGTCTTTGAATTATTTATTATTATTATTATTTTTTTATATTGTACAAAATAGGATTTACTATACAAGCGATCTAAGACTCAGTTCTTAAGTGACTTGTAACTGGAAGTGGAGTAATGTTATAAAAAATTCTCCATATAGAATTTTTTAAATACTCAAGGAAACATCTAAGACAAATAGTGAATAAAGGGAACTTCACTGTACTCAGATTGGACTTACCTGTTTTAGAGGTTTCTAGCTTGCTGGGTTAATTCGGAACTAATTTCTAGAAATAATCTCAACCATTGACCATCGCATGTTTTCATGTCCATCGGTTGCAGATAATTTTCCCGAGCTTTGGTGAGCGATACCTCTCTTCTGTGCTCTTCGAATCTGTAAGAAAGGAGGCTGAGAGCATGACTTTTGAGCCGTGAAATTCCGCCATGAGAACATGGCTTATTAATCATAGTATTACTAATGTTTGCTCAACTTCTTTTGAATCTTTCAAACTGTTGCGCGAATTCTGTTTCGTGGTGATTGTGATGTTCGGGGTATGTTCATGGATGTATTGATCTCTTGACTCATAAGAGAAGCTAGTTTTATAAGAAGTTATAAATTATTTATCGTTTACCCATTAATTGCCATATCTATATCATATATATAATTGCTAGCAATCCATTAAATTTTATCTCATAAATTATACCTACGTGACACTTAACTTTTCAAAAATTGATTATGTTAATTAAGATAAAAATCGTTATTTTATATATTACTTGAATAATAATTATATGGTATGTTCATGGTTATATTGAACTCTAGACTAAGAGAAGCTAGTTTTATAAGAAGTTATAAATTATTTATCATTTACNTATGTGGCACTTAACTTTTTCAAAAATTGATTATGTCAATTAAGACAAAAATCGTTATATTTATATTAATTGAGCAATAATTATATTTTTTTTATTGTATCATATAGTAGTTATTAACTTATTATTAGAATTAATAATTATATTTTACACTAAATGGTATATGAAATTTACATAAACATAAAAAATTATATTTTAACACTTATTGTTCAAGTTATTTATTCTAAAATCAACATTATTTTTTTTATTTAATTATGTGATTATTTTTTAAATAAATTAATTTGTTTTAATGTGATAGGCAATTTTTATAATAAGTTTAATAATTTTTTCAGTAAATTAATTGGTCATGATCTCTCAAAATAACAAATATTACTGTATTTATTACA